TGTTCCTCCCTCTGCTATATTTTGGAAGAGTTTGAGAAGGATGGGTTTTAGCTGTTCTCTAAATGTTTGATAGAATTCACCTGTGAAGCCATCTGCTCCTGCGTTTTTGTTTGTTGGAAGATTTTTACTCACAGTTTCAGTTTCAGTGCTTGTGATTCGTCTGTTTATATTTTCTATTTTTTCCTGGTTCAGTCTCAGAACGTTTTGCTTTTCTCAGAATTTGTCCATTTCTTCAAGGTTTTCTATTTTATTGGCATATAGTTGCTTGTAGTAATCTCCCATGATCCTTTGTATTTCTGCATTGTTAGTTGTTACTTCTCCTTTTTCATTTCTAATTCTGTTGATTTGAGTCTTCTTCCTTTTTTTCTTGATGAGTCTGGCTAATGGTTTAACAATTTTGTTTATCTTCTCAAAGAACCAGCTTTTAGTTTTACTGATCTTTGCTATCATTTCCTTCATTTCTTTTTCATTTATTTCTGATCTGATCTTTATGATTTCTTTCCTTCTGCTAACTTTGGGGGTTTTTTGTTCTTCTTTCTCTAATTGCTTTAGGTGTAAGGTTAGGTTGTTCATCTGAGATTTTTCTTGTTTCTTGAGGTAGAATTGTGTTGCTGTAAACCTCCCTCTTGGAACTGCTTTTGCTGCATCCCATAGGTTTTGGGCCATGGTGTTTTCATTGTCATTTGTTTCTAGGTATATTTTGATTTCCTCTTTGATTTCTGCAGTGATCTCTTGGTTATTTAGTAGCATATTGTTTAGCCTCCATGTGTTTGTATTTTTTACAGTTTTTTTCCTGTAACTGATATCTAGTCTCATAGCATTGTGGTTGGAAAAGATACTCAGCTTATTTTTAATTAAGGAAATTCAGAGAGCAACCAGTTATGTGTAACTAGTAAGTGTCACCTCCCCCAGAATAGCTAGACAAGCAAAGCAGCAGGAAAGAGGCTAAATGGGTAAAATACAAAGCTGCCAGAAAGAGAGACTTCAGTGGCCTCCATTAGAAAAGGAATTTTAGATGCTCCCATCTCACCACCCTTTCTCCTGAGCAGGCAGGGTCTTTGAAACCCGACCATCGGTCCAAATCCTGGATCTGCATCGTATTAACTAAGAATAAAAATGATAACAACAACAATAATGGCAACGATATCATTATTGGTGTTGGGGGAAGGTAATGGGGGCTGGAACGTACTTGTTTTGCACACACAGCATACCATTAAGTTTTACATTCCCTAACAAGGGAAGCTTAGGAGTATTCCCCTTCCCCAGATGAGAGAAAGGGGCTGAGACAGGGAGGCAGACTGCTGCTGTGTGGTCTCCACTTTGTCCATGCTCCCTGAGTCCACATCCTTGGGTGGTTAGATGCCTCAGACCCTGACTCTGCATCCGGTCATGGGACTCACCTTGGCCAGTGGGACTCTGGCAGATGTGTCCAAGCAGACTTGATAAGCACTTGCACACTGGGACTTGTTCCTCTTGCTGCTCATTGGAACCCTGAAAACCCCATGGAAGAAGCTGGGTCACCCCATCTGGGGGTGAGAGACCATGTGGAACAGAGATGAGCCAGCCCTCGGGATCCCAAGACCAGCCCACCTGCTGGCAACCAAACATGAGCCTGAGAACATCCAAGGTCATTCAGCCGCTGACTGGCCCGCAGCCAACCTCAGCCATAGGAGAGAGAGCCCAGCAGAGCCCAGCAGGGCTGGCCCTGGTTAGAACTGCCCCACCAACCCTCAGAACTGTAAGCTCAGCAAAAGGATTATTGCCTTAAGCCATTATGTTTTTGTTTTGTTTTTTAATGCAGCAAAACCTAACTGATGAAGTTGACCTTGGTAAGTGTCAGAACCCAGGCCGGCTTAATCCATAGCCCTCACCCTTAACCACTTTACTGTCTCGTGTTTCTGAGCCTCAGGGCCCTCATATGTAAAATGACAACAAAACAGCGTTTCACTGAAGTACAGGTGGCGTATAATATTATATTAGCTTCAGGTGTACAATGTAGTGATTCAGTATTTTTATACATGACAAAATGATCACCACTAAGTCTATTTATGATCTGTCGTTATACAAAGTTATTGCAATAGCACTGACTATACCCTCTATGCTTTACATTCCATCCCATGATTTATTTATTTTATAACTGGAAGTTTGTACCTCTTAATCTCTGTCATCTATTTTGCCCAATGCCCCACCCCCTTCCCCTTTGACAGCCACCCATTTTTCTCTATATCTATGAGTCTATTTCTGTTTTGCTATGTTTGTTCATTTGCTTGTTTTTTGCTAGATTCCATGTATAAGTGAAAAAATACAGTATCTGTCTTTCTCTGTCTGACTTAATTCACTTAGCATGCAACCCTCTGGCTCACAGGCCATAAAAAAACTGTCTACAGGCCAAATTTGTCCCAAGGGACGTAGTTTACCAAATCCTGTTCTTTTCTAATATAAGCATGAAAATTCATAGCTTTTCCTCTAACTGCATCCAACAAATTTTGATATGCTGTATTTTCATTATCATTCTGTTAAAATATATTTTTTAATTTTTAATTTATTTTTATTTTTGGCTGCGTTGGGTCCTCGCCGCTACACGTGGGCTCTCTCTAGCTGGGGCGAGCGGGGGCCACTCCCTGTTGCAGCGCACGGGCTTCTCACTGCGGTGGCCTCTCTCGTTGCAGAGCATGGGCTCTAGGTGCTCGGGCTTCAATAGTTGCAGCACGCGGGCTCAGTAGCTGTAGCTCCCGGGCTCTAGAGCGTAAAATATTTGTAATTTCCCTTGTAACTTCCTCTTTGACTCATGTAATACTTAGAGGTGTGTTTTTATTATTTTCCAAATTTAGGGGGGGTTCTTAGATATTGTTTGTGATTTCTAATTCAATTATACTGTGGTCAGAGAATATATTTATATGATTTCAATAAAAGATTTCAATCTTTTCAAACTTATCGAGGCTTGTTCTACGCCCAGCTTTTGATCCGTCGTGGTGAATAAACCATGGCCGTTGAAAAAAATATATATAACAGCCTTTCAGCGTTAGTGGGAGATCAAAGGTAATGAAGTTCATGAACATGATTGGTCAATTAGAAAATTCTACATGAACACCAGCCAGTATTCTTTCCAGTTAATGTTCTTTCTACAGGCTTCTCCCTTCTACTTGAATAGTGAGAGTTTGAGGTATTACAAAATCCTGAATTATTTCCTGCCAGCAAAGCAATGAAAATAAATGAAGTCTCTTCCTCCCTGACCTCCTATACGGCCTCTTACTCTCATGCTCTCCCTTGTCATTCCCATCACTCACAACGCCTGGTGCCCTCAGCTTATAAAAGATGGAGAAGGAAGGGAACTAGCCCTTAACGACTTCATACAGGGTTCCAGCAGCATTAGGCAGTGTATGTACACACACACACACACACACACACACACACACACACACACACACACACACACACGTCTTCATGTCAGCCTTTTAACAGCCCTCCAAGGTAGCTATTGTTATCTCTATTTTACAGATGAGGAAACTGAGGCTCAGAACCATTCAGTGACTTATCAAAAGTCAGTAATTGGCAAATAGCAGAGGTGGGATCCAGTCCCAGGGGTTTCTAATCCTAAAGCTTGTGATCTTTCCACAAAGGGCTGAAAGTAACATTCTACAGATTTGTGTATTTAGAAAGAAAGCAGGGTTGGCTTGTTGGTTTTGACAATATATTTTGAGTCTCCTACTCTCACAGGCCATGGCCAGAATCAGGTCATGTCTCACCACTTCCACCGCCGCCATCCTGTCCTACTCATGGCTATCATCCCTGGGTAGATGGCCTTCCCACCCCACTCCTGCCCTCCCCCTACCTTCTCTCTACACAGAAGTGGGAGGAATCCTATTGAATCATAAACCAACTCTTGTCACATTTCTCTCAACCCTACCCCGGCTCCCCATCACACTCAGCACAAATCCGCAGTCCTCACTGTGACCTACAAGGTCCTGTGGGATCTGACTGGCCCCTCTTCAACTCATCTGCATCCACTCTCCCCCTGGCTCACCAGGCTCCACCACACTGGCCTCCTGACTCTTCTTTGAACTTGCCAAGCATGCTTCCACTTCAGGGACACTGTCCTCCTCTCTCCGCCAGGTACACAATTCCCACAATATTCATTTGTTTCTTGCCCTTGGTTCATTCCCGTCTCTGCTCCTTTGTTTCCTCCTCCGAGCAGCCTTCCCTGAGTCCTATTTAAAATAGCCCTTACTATCTTCTTGTGCTGCTTCTTTTCCTCCTAGTGCTTACCATTATCTACCTCATATATCTAATTACATATCTGTCCACCCACTAGAACGTAAGCTCCAGGTGTAGGGACTGGGGGGTCCTGTTCACCACTGTGTCCCCAGTGTGGACCACAAGGCACAGCATGTACTCTGTAAATGCTGCTTGGTGAATAAATGAAAGGATGAATGAGGGACTTCCCTGGCGGTCCAGTGGTTAAGACTGCATCTTTCAATGCAGGGGTGTGTGTTCGATCCCTGGTAGGGTAGCTAAAAGCCCACATGCCTCAAGGCCGAAAAACCAAAACATAAAACAGAAGCAATATTGTAACAAATTCAATAAAGACTTTAAAAATGGTACAAATCAAAAAAACATCATTAAAAAAAAAAGAATGAATGAGTCAGAGGCCCAGACAGGAAACATAATCCTCATAAAAACTCCCTGGAAACCACAGACAACTTGGAATATGAATTTTATGGTGAAGATGATAAATAGAATGCGTGATGTGCCGAAGACCGTCCAGGTCTTTGGAGTTGGTTTGGGTCCGTCCCAGTCAGTGCTTCTCCATTAGAGGAGCATCGTGGGTGGGTGGTCCATCCCATGGGACTGCCCCACTTTATGCAGGGTTCTTGTGTTCTCGGTCTCTGCCAATTCAATATCAGTAGGGATGCATGTGACAGCCACAAGTACCCCTCACATTTTGAAACACGCCCCAGGAATGTGTTACTGCCCCCTCTCCTGCCACGGTGAAGGCTCACCTCCATCCACGCCCATGATGAAGCGTCCCAGGATGAGCATTTCAAAGGCTCCTGCTTGGAGAGAACAAGCCATCAGCAACAGGGCGGAAATTGCAAACCCATTGTTGACCAGCAAAGTGAATTTCCTGGAAGAAAAGGAGGGGTTTGATGAGGCTGCCACTGGCCTGTGTATCCCCAGAACAGGATCCAGACCCCCCCCCACCCCCATTGCCACCTTTGGCCATATGACCCTGAACAAGGAACTTCCTTCCTCTGGGTTCATTACCACGGTTGATTAGGTCACCTCCAAAGGCACTGAGAGCCCTGATATTCTATGAGTCTCCCTGTTGCAATATTTTATCTCATCGGTTCTAAGACCTTCATTTAACACTACAAAGTCAAAATGCGTCTTACAATCCATGAGTCAGATGTCAGGCAGGGAAATGAAAACTACTCTAGTTAGTTTCACAGAGAGAATTAACACAGGGAACTGGTTAAGGTCACTGCTGGGGCTGGCAGGAAATTCAGGCAAACTAAAGGGAGCAAGTCCCCCCTCTTTTAGTGCCCCTGTGGCAAAGGGCAGGTGAGGCTTGCAGGTCTCAGCCCCTGCATCACAGAGCAGAGCACAGAAGGGTACTTCGGGAGCTGGGAGCAATAGCTTGTTAATTAGCACACCTACAGCATCCTATGACTTCAGCTGGCATAGTTTTTCTCCCTCCCTCCCTCCCTTCTTCCTTCCTTCCTTCCTTCCCTCCCTCCCTCTCTCCCTCCCTCCCTTCCTTCCTTCCCTCCCTTCTTCCTTCCTTCTTTCCTTCCTTCCTTCCTTCTTCCTTCCTTCCTTCCTTCCTCCCTCCCTCTCTCCCTCCCTCCCTTCTTCCTTCCTTCCTTCCTTCCCTCCCTCCCTTCTTCCTTCCTTCCTCCCTCCCTCCCTCTCTCTCTCTGTTTCTCTCTCTCTCTCTCTCTCTCTGCAGTTCATGTAACAATGCTTCTTATACCTAACTATACCTAACTATAGCATGAAGCATGAGGCTGAGCTAATCCCCTCAAACGAGGTCAGCCAAATTCCTTTGGCAAGTCTTACTATTCGTTGCTCCTTGTTAGGACCACTGCCACTGTATTATATGAATATATAACATATTCCTAAGACCTCACAGTTGAGAAGCATAACTTATTTGGAGGCCTGGGGACCTGGGTTCCTGCACCAGCTGTCTCTTTTGTGACCTAGGGGACTTCGTACTTCATTGCTCTGTGCTTTCCTTGCCTCGTCTGCAAAATGATCTTAATAGCTCACACTGACTGAACTTTTGCTATATGACAGACCCCATTCTAAGCGTTTTACATGAGTAGCTCATTTACTGCTCAAAAGGACCCTATGAAGTAGGTACTATTCTTATCTCTGCTCTATAGATAAGTTAACTAGGACACATAAATTAGTCACTTGTTTTAGGTCATACAACTAATGAATCAAGTAGCTGGGGAAACAGCCTCTCACAGGATACTTTTTCCCTAAAGACTCAATGATTTAACAGTATTAAACTGTTTCAGAAATTGTAAGAAGCTAGGGCTTGAAAGGGAACTTCGTTATTACTTGTAGGAGTTAGCTCTCTTTACTTCCGGGCCAAAGTTCCTTCTACTATTTTTGGTTTATCTCAAGCTGTTCATTAAATTTTTTTCCCTTTCCTACAACTTCTTGGAGAACCCCAAACTTAGTGAATTTTGCAGCTCAATTCGGATGGTATAAAACCTGCTCATTGCAACATCTTCTATAACAGCAAATGATTGAAAGAACCCAAATGTCCATTAATAAGGGGCTATTTAAATAAATTATGATACATATATAATGTGGTATATTATGCAGACATTAAAATAGAGGTAGCATTCTATATTCTGATATGGAAAAATCTCAAAGATATATTGTTAAGTGCAAAGAATAAGATACAGAACTTTATGTAGAATATGCAACAACTTACGTGATAAAATGTGTGTTTGTGTGTGTGTGTAGAGATAGGCACAAATCTTGGAAAAGATACACAAAAAGCTGGTAACACTGACTGTCTCCAAGGAGGAGACAGAAGACAGAAACAAAAACGAAACTTTCGACTTTAATTGGTCCTTTTGAAAGTTAAGTCACATGAATGTATTAATTATTAAAAAATAAATATGATTTCAAATTAGTCTTTCAAAAGATTAATTTAACTGGACCTTATCATGGTGAAAAAATGTGATTTAGCAGAGACTTAAAACAAAAATTCCAATCTAGAGTAACCTCCCTTATTCTGATGCCGAAGGTCACAGCCTCAGGATTCAATAAAGATAAGTCTGAAGGCACTAATTTCTGTTATTGGTGAAAGCTCAAAGCAGGATGCGAATACCCTGCACCCCACGGCACTGCTCCATGTTCAGGGCCCTTCCCCTCAGTCCTCTGAGGAACTACTGTGTCAGCCCTGCGAGGAAAGCGGCACAATGGTTGGAGGGAGTGGCAGGAAGACCTGGACCCTCCTCACAGAAGCTTTCACTTGGGTTCCACTCATCATGTATTTAGTGAGTGCTAGACACTGGGTCTACCCCAGGAATATGGGAGTCATCTCCGTCCTCCCCATCATGGGCTTTAGAGCCTAGTGAGGAACACAGACAGCAAATAAATCACACAAGTCAATTAGTGACCATCTGTGACTTCTATAAGTAAAGATATAGAAAATATGAGATTGTATAACTCAGAACTGTGCCCACCATTTGCCTGTTTGTGCTCAGCTCCCTTCTTTCTCTGCCTGACTCTGTTTCAGGGGGAACTACCTTTCCCAGGCTCCCTTGCTTCTGGCTTCCTGGGAGGATTGGCCAATGAGAGGCCAGATGTCCATCTAGAGGGCGGGGAAGGGGAGAAGCAGGGTATTTCCCCCTCTCTGTGATCGATTCCAGCAGCTCTGTGTCTTCTCCTCTGCCCTAGCCATCTCTCTGTAGTCCCAGCAACCTGCTCACTAAAGTGTGGCCCTGGCTTTTAAACCCAGGAATGCTGCTTCTCCCTTTTGGACCTTCCATCTCATGGGTGGTAGCAGCTTGTCTGTAAAAAAAAAAAAGATTTCTACAACATGCCCAAATATTCTCCGTGTAGCTCCACCTCTGGGTCTCAGTTCCCGCCTTGAGGCCACATAGGATAAACCCCTGTTGCTGCAGAGGCTAGTGTAAGGTAAGTTTGTGAAGAGATTGTTGAGGGAGGAGAGGCAGGAGGGGGTTGCTGTGGCCAGATTTGGAGGGTTCTTGGATGTTGGACAAAACAATACATTCTATAATCTGTAGACAATGAGAAATAAAGGGCTTGATTAGGAATCAATACCTCAATTCCTATCCCCAGACAATTTGTCCACTGCCCTACTTCAGTTAAACTGGACATTTGATACTAGGATGATATTAATGATATCCATAAAAATAATGCTAGCATTATTTAGTGGTTCTCCAGTCTGGTTGCACATCAGATTTCCCAATAGCACATACAAATATGAGATCCTTGGGTCCACCTCTAGAGAATTTTCATCCTTGGGGGAGACTCAGTGTGATGCCTTTAGTATAGTACTAAGAAAGAGCATGGCTCTTCTGTAAATGATTTCATCTCATTTCGTCTTTAACACTTGTAGTTATCAGTGTTAACGAAATCATCAGTTCACAGAGGAGGAGGTAAGGATTACTTCATCCCCCACCACCAAATTCACCCACCTACCTGCATTGGATGAAACTGCCCCAGTGATGTAAGGTCTATCAGTGTCATTGTGCATCCCTACCCCAGTGAAGGATTTGTTCCCTCTCTACTCAATCATTCCCATATAAACACATCTAAATATTGTCTCTCTTGGTCCTCATCCCTCTGCTCCTCATGTTGGCTCCCTTTTAGAGTGAAACTCCTTCATGAATGTTGTCTGCTCATCTTCTAGTCTTTCCTCACCCACACTCTGATTAGATCATTTCTACCACTCCATGGAGATTGCCTTTGTGAAGGTCATCAACAACCTCTACCTTGACAGACAACTGCCAATTCTCTGCCTTCCCCTGGTACAACATCTCAGCAGCATTTGATGTGGTTGACCACACCCTCTTTCTTGAAACACAATCTTCTCTGCGTATCTGGGATTGCACCCTCTCCCATTTTTCTCCCCGCCAGCCTCACCTTCTCAGTCTCTAGGCTGGTTTATCCTCACCTCCCTGAGCCTTGAAAGTTGGGGTGCCCAGAGCTCCGGCTCATCTCTCTCCTAGTCTCACCTCTCTCTACACTCCCTCCCTGGGTGATCCCATCCAGTTCATCCCTCTAACCGATGACAATTCCCAACTATATCTCTGGATGCAGACTCTCCTCTCAACTCTAGACTTACATATCCAACTGCCTCCTGGACACTTCCACTAGCATATTTAGTAGGTATCTCAAACCAAGCATATTTAAAATAGAATTCTTGAATTCCCACTACTAAATCCCTCCCTGCTCCAAAATGCATGTCAAATCCCTCTTCCCATAGACTTTTTCATAAAAAAAGCCACTACCTTCCTAGTGGCTTAGGCAAATATCTGGGAATACTACTTACATCTTTTATTTTCTTCACGACCCATATACAATCCATCACTGAGTCCTATCTATACTACTTCCAAGATATATCCCAAATCAAACCACGTCTCCCATTTACAGCCCCACAATATGGCAGTGGTCCAGGCCACCATCATCCTACACTCATAAAAGTGCAATAGGCTCACACACACTCTTGCCCTGCTGTAGTTCAGGGTCCACAGAGTAGCCAAAGTTATCCTCTCATAGCACACACGGACGTACTTTTTCTTTCTTAAAACCTGCTAGTGGCTTCCCACTGCACTTAGAATAAACTCTTCACCAGGGCCCATAAAGCCCTGCATGAGATGGCTTTTGCCACAGCATCTCATACTCTCACCTTCACGCTCATGAGCCTTCCCACGGTCCCTCAGGTGTGCCAGGCTCCTTCCTAACTCATGGCCCTCATTCTTGGTGCCCCTCTATTCATTGCATGAGTCTTATCTCACTGAAGTGTCAACTCAAATGCAACCTCCTGACACTCTTTGACATGGCTGCTTCCCCCAAATGCAGAGCTCATTCCCCTCCATCCTCTCACCCTGTTCTATTTTCTTCACAGTCCCA